AATGCTTTTGTGCTGTTTTGTGTAGAGATTACGTGTTTGGAGCAGAAGAGTGTACAGTGAGTAATTAGAGATGTTGTTACTTGAATCTCGTCGGTGATACTCGTTAACAAAACCAAAAGAAAAGAATGGTATTTCCCTGAAACTTGATAAAGGAAACGTAAAGTTGCTTCCCAGTGCCTATTTTATAAATACTTGAACTTTCCTCTATGGTACACTGGCTTTATGAATTTAAGCGCAGGACTAGATTGGCGGTAAGGTCTCATCATTTTACAGTTGAATGGGTAGATGTTACTTTAAGTTCTATGCTAACAGTTTCTTTTCTCGCACTTCTCACTTGTGAAATTTTCTTCCGGCATCTTGCTTTCCGGTCAAATTTGATCTTCAAAAATTTAAATGCAATGTTTATCGTTATCTTCTGTCCTCTTAATTCCTGTTCTTTTATTGTTTTCACTCCTTAATAATGTTTTTTTTGTTCTCGTATTCTCTCACATTCAATAACTTCTTACATCTTAGTGGCTTCGTTGCCTTGCTTGGGTGAAATGATTAAAAAATGCTTATGTAATTTTCAGTTAAAATGTATGTTTGAATAATAAGTGTATAAGAATGATGAAAATATAAAAAATCCCTGCGGTTTGGAGGTTCAAAATCTTGCTCAAGGGTAGAATTACGTCAAATTTGAAAATCCAAGATATCTCCACCCCAAGAGGACATTTGGTACAGTTTATTAATTGTTAGAATTTTTGTTACAATTATTTGAATCTAAAGCAAAGGATAGAAATTTAGGAGCTTAAAACAACAAAAACAAACTAAAAAAAGTTAATTTTTTTATATGTTAGTTAATTTTTTTTCATCATATACAGTGTAACCCGGATATAAGAGACCCGGATATAAGAGAAACCCGGATATAAGGGAGATTTTCTCTGGTCCCAAATTAGAGCCCATACTTACCTAAACAAAATCGACCAAACCCGGATATAAGAGAAACTCGGATATAAGAGACTTATCCGGTCCCGACAACTCTCTTATATCCGGGTTACACTGTAGTAAATCTAAAATTTCCTGTTTCTTTGTGGGGCACCCTATACATTTTTAAAAATATTAACCCCATACGAGGCTCGATAGCCACTCAGTGGTTACGATGATTGGGGCATGGTATAAATGAAAAAAAAGGAAATAGGTAGTGAATATTTTGCGGATTAGATGGATAGATAATGATTGACCCTTGACTTGAAAAGATTAAGACTGCAATGTTAACGGAAGCATCTGCGCGGGAAAAAGCTATCTGATTAGAAGTTTAGATTAGAAGTTTCTCCTTACTTTTGGAATATAGAGGAAATGGGGGGAATTCGACTCCGTAGAAGTGGCATTACGTGGCGTAGCTGTAAATGACGTAACTAAACTGATGGAATTCAAGAACATCTGAACAACTGCCATGGTAATCCTAATTATGTAATAATAGGCTTGCTCGGTTGCGGGGAAAGGGAAACGGTGTGGAGAATAGGTTTTTCCCACGTAAACGATTTGGAATATGTTCAACGCTGATTACTCTGATCATAAAAAAAACGCGTAAAAGATTTATGAACTTCTGAAAGTTTATAGTAATTTACATTGATTATATTGTTCGGATTTGTCTTCATATTCGTTGCCATATTCACGACGTTTCGGCCGTTGCACACTCCTGCCTTCTTCAGGTGATTTTGAATTTCGAACTGAACCCTTTATTTCATCCACCGGAGTAGACTGTTTTAATACCACGTGCCATACCATTTCCGGATGTCTCAATATCATTGTCGCCATATTTATTACAACGTTTCGGGCTTTGTACGCTTCGGCCTTCTCAGGTGGTTGGAATGTCGAACTGAGCCCTTTATTTCGCTCACTGGAGTAGACTATTCCAGTTCCGTGCCATGCTTTTTATGGATGTCAGTTATCAGTTAACTCCTGTTAATTCCCCCTCTCCAAGTTCTCCACTGCCTTAACCGGGTATTGAACTCACACACTTTGGGTCCTGTTACTGGATCTAACCAACGCCTTTATCCATGTGTCCTTGAGGACATCTGCGTATGATTTTCTGGGTATTATAAACCTAATGTCTTCAGCATCCATTTTTTGCCAGAGCTTATATTGTAATTTTTGTTGTTATTATTGCTTTTCAACCACCTGAAGAAGGCCGGAGCGTACAACGGCCGAAACGTTGTAATAAATATTGCGACAAAGATGAGGACAATAGTCCGAATAATGTAAATAGTAATACCTCATCTCAGAAATATAGACAGTGTCACAGTATCAGTTATTTCCATTTAACTAGACTGTCCAAGTTTTGTTAACCTCTACTGTAGTCAGGTATTGAACTTACATCTCTTTGGCTCAAGTCACTGTATTCAACCAACGCTTTTATCCACTGGGCCATCCAAAATAGGAATGGCACATGGAACTAGAAAAAATATACTACTGTGGGCGCAATAAAGGGTTTAGTTCGAAATTCCAATCACCTAAAGAAGCCCGGAGAGTACAACAGTCGAAACGTCGTGAATATGGCAATAAAGATAAGGATAACAAGCCGAACAATGTAAATAGTGTAAATAATTGCATACCTCATCTCAGTAATTTAGACAGATATTAAAGATTATGCTAATTGGGAATATAGTTTAGGTGGGGAGCTTCCATTAGATCTATATTTTTTTAATTAATAATTTTTGGTGCAGGTTCATCATATTAAAACATTGCGTAATAATTCTTTAAATTATTTTGTAAAGCGGATTGAACTTACGTCATCATATTCTGGCGAGAGCAGGATGGTTGGCAAACTTTCATTATCCTTCGTCGGCCTACAAGAGAAAAACAATAAAGAAAAAAATAGTTAGTGAAAATAGGTTAAGTGTCATAATAAAAATTATAGAAATTACGAAAGCAGTAGAATTTAGGTTTATACTTATTGGCATAGATAATGACGGTGATTGTACGAGTCTTTTTCAAGTCCACGTGGAGGAAACAGATGAGAGAAGATTGTAAAGCGATAGTGGAAAAACAGTCAGATTATCGTGAAAATCAGTGCTCCAAATAACATTAATCAAACGTGAAAAAAACGTATCTTGTTCAATAGCTGCTTAGTGTGGCTAGACCCCCGATTGCTGCAAGCCGGGATTGAAACCCGACTGATTTGACAACAGTCAGATATCTTACACCCTAGGCCATCGTCGCACTTTTTTCTATACGAAATATGCCAGCGGCTGGGAGAACTCAATTCATACTTGAAGAGCAATGCTTAATAGCAATAGGAGCCGCTGTTTTTAACCCTCCCTTTCTCTCGAGGGCTCAAACATATTTCCGGGAACATATATATATATATACATATATATATATATATATGTGTGTGTGTGTGTGTGTGTGTGTGTGTGTGTGTGTGTGTGTGTGTGTCCAGGTAAGATGAGAACGAATAGAGTACAATTCCAGCGTTCGTAACATTTAATTTAAAAGAAGGGTCAATGCAAAGTAGAGCAATATTCTTTATTTTAGTATATTACATCGAAAAACATGTCAAAATCGCTACACAATTGCAGTCGTGTTTCGATGCGGATCAATGCATCTCATCAGGCGATTGTAAATTACTGGCGAGTGAACGATTTATTCAGATTTAAAAGCAAAACACAGAAAAAGGAAAAGGGGGTGGTTATAAGGTTTGTGGGCTTTACTCAGATCAACCAATCGAATATGACCTATGTTAAATTTAAACTAAGGAAAGAAGCAAAAATTAAGAAAATATTTTTCATGACAAATAAATTTGAAATCGATGGCAGTAACAGACATTAAACAGGAGCAGATGTAAATGGATACATATTGTACATTAGACAATGTCATGCGAGAAGAAGCTGATAAGGTTTGACCACAATTAATTCCTTCCAGTTCAATATATATATATATATATATATATATATATATATATATATATATATATATATATATATATATATTCCTTAACTCTAGATACATAAATAAAAAACGGAGCATTATAAAGTACAGGCTCTCGAGAAAGCAGTTGAGCAACATGCTCCATAAGTTTTCTATAGGGTTGAGGTCAGGAGATTGGGGTGGCCATGTCATAACACTCACCTGCTTCTCATCAAAGTATTCCTTCATCAATTTTGATTTGTGACAGGGAGCATTATT